GAGTTGAAAAATTAAAAAATCATAATGAAAAAAACTATTATAATCCTAAAATAAATTATAATTAAAAAAATATCTTGATTTTTGTCTCAAAACAACGTCATTTTGGGCTCAATGTAGATAAGTTATCTACATTTACTGTGGAAAAAGTGAACTCATATTCTTATCATGCAAAAAAATATTTATCTTTTTTATAAGAATTCACAAATTTTAATAGAATCTTACGTTTTTTTTTTTCGGTAAACAAAATAATATCAGAATATTATGTATTTAATGTATATGAAAACAGAAATAGATACAAAATTTTAATACGATGTTATCATGTAAAAATTTCAGTGAATTCAATTCTCTCTTGTTTTACAAGTATCTATAATATCTTAAAAGAAAATTTTATTTGGCAAATTTGCTGATGTGTTGCTCTCTCCTTTAATATCTCATTTGTGTTCACACTTAAATCACTTTGAAATATTTTCTCTTTTAGTAATTATCAAATTTGAAATTTAAACTTAGGGAAAAATGTTTCTCCTCTTAAATGACACAATTTATGTCATTTTACTCTCACAAAGAGGTACGACCCACACTTTTATATTTTTTTGTCCACTCTCTCACCTCCTTTATCTATCTCTTTCTCTCACTTAAAATGATACAATTTTACATCCTTTGAAATGACACACATTTTTCCCTTAAACTTAATAGGTATGAAAATAGTTCATCATTCTTTGGTGGGCGGCAAATAGTTGTATTAATATCTTACTACTTTTTGCATTAGTAATTGTTAACTTTATTAAATTATTAATAATACCACTACTATTTGCATCAAAAGTTGTTAAACCTATTAAAAATTTTATTAGAACTTTTAAAAAATAAGTTCAAAAAACCTCCTTAGTTCATGTATAAATAGGATATGTGTTATTGCATATTTTTCTTTGGTAATCAGCTTTTGTGCACAAATTTTTTCTATTTCTATCTGTTTATCTTCTTCGTCTTCTCAAGTTGTTCTTCTGCACAATCTTACCCATTATTTGTGCGTTTATAGTCTTCTACTTCATGTTTGTTGATATTTCATGTTCATTATTCTTTACTTTATTGGGTGAATTGTTTATATTATTTTTATATTCTACATTATTAATATAGTATACTGACACATGAGCTAATTTTTTAATTAGTTTTAATGCTGAAGTCAGAGATACCTTGCTGGAAAAAAGGAATCTGTGACTGATGAAGATGCAGTGTTGTGAAAAGAACATCTTTGAAGTAGCCACTCTTTGAAAAGTTTGGAAGAAAATTACTTTAGGAGTAAGGATAAATAACTTGATATTTTTTCTATTTATATTTTTTTTGTTTTGCATTCTTTTTTTTATAGCAGATTATATGTGAAAAGAACATCTATCTATCTATATTTGTGCTCATTTGATAACAAAGAATAATTTTAAAAAGAGAAATTAAAATTTGCTTAAAATTAAATAGAAATTATTGATACATGGTAAGAAAAAATAATATCATTTATTTTTATTAATTTTATACAAATATATATGAAATATTCAATTTTTTGTACTTAATAGTTTTTATTTTTGATTAATAACCAACATTCTAAGAAATACATTAACATCTATGCATCTTTTAATGAGATCCAAATCAAAATAGTTATAGTAGGGTCTTGAATATTCTCACATAGATTGTAACATTAGTGTGACAGTTATGAGCATGCCCACTTAGCCAAATTTCATACTTTTATGGTTCAAATTCCAAAGGTTCCATAATGCGAGTGCAAATAGCAATGGCATCTACGCGTTGGATCCCTCTCCACTTACACTGTATATTTTCTGTTTAAAAATATTTCCTATTTAAAATTTTATGCAATAATTATAAATAAATTCGTTTATGATAAATAGCTCTACCATGAAGAATCGTTCTTTTAAAAACGGATCCCTCTAGCACTTTACTTTGATATACTAAGAATAGAAAGTAAAATACGTGTAAAAGTGACTTAAATATCTTTTTTTTGATATCAACAAACGATGTTGTTATCAATACGTTTAAACTATATATAATATTTCAGTTCAAATTTACTTATAAAATTATGTTATTCTTCTTAAAAAAAGTATTCAAGTAAAAATTAAAATTTCATTAACAATATATTATAAATAAAACTTTTTTTCTTTTTTATAAACTTCACCACTTTAAGAGAGAACACTGAACCTCAACATAGATCAAAACATAATAAATAAATAAATAAAACAAATAAAAAATTAAACACTATTGTTCAGTTCTATTAAACCGTATAATGATACCTCAAGGGTATGCACTCAAAGATATCGTATGGATAGGTATCTTGGTTGGCTTATAGCCAATATCCCCATCACTGCGCACAAGCAATAGGCTTATAGCCGAGACGTGGGTGTGTGCACAATGTGGGCAGAAGTAGTAAATGAGTTCAAACTGTGTACCTGGGGTCCTTAGGCTCTTATTTATAAGGATTACCTGCCTAGGTTTGAGCCTTTTGAGCTCCCCAGATTGCATTAGGGTTCAGCTCCCTTTCTGTTGGGATGTGATCCTTATCTTGTGCTCTTTAACTGTTTAATGTTGTTGAGATATTCATGAATCTATCTCTTAGTAAATTCTTAGGTGAGTAGTTGGAATATGATATTCATATCCATAACAACTATATAGATTCAAAACATATTGTCATTCTTCTTAATCCTTGAATTAATAAGAAAGAAACTTTTAAGCTCAAAGAACGATTCTAAATGTTTGGTATGATAGTACAACGGTAACACATAAGCCTTCGTAAAAAAATTTCTTCTGAAAATCAAAAAATTATTTTTAAAAAAGAGTGTAGAAACACTATGGCCAAACAAGTCTTCATCTAACTATTTTTCACTATCCTAACTGACCAAAGAGTTGTATTCTTCTATTTCCTTATATTGCAGGAACAGAACCACTAATTTACGCATCGAAAATGGTTAAGTCTATTAATAATATTCATTATTATACTATTAGAATTAATTAATTTTTTTGGTCTTAAAAGGAACCAAATTGTTGCAACTATTAACCACTACGATTTATATTGGAAATTGTTAAATCTATTAATAATATTTATTATTATGTCTATTAGAATTAATTATTATACCTATTAATAATTGAAAAGTAAAATTATTTCCAATTCACCATGTGTCTCTTCGTAAGTCAGTCAATATGCCTATATCCTTTATTGTTTGCATGCTCCTTGCAGTTTTATGTGTCTCTACGTAATTCACATTATTTGCCAATAATTTTTTTTTGCATGTATTAATTATATCATGAGGGGATATTCTTACTACCAAAAAAATTCACTACCATTTACAAAAAAAAAAAAAAAAAATTCACTACCAACCTATTATCTATCTAATTATCATTGGATCAATATTTTCTCTTTGTTCATAAATTTTTCAGCATTTTCTCTCTTTGAACCAATAGTGATTAGATAGGTAGTGGGTTGGTAGTCAAAATGTCTTCTCTCTTATATAATAATAGATTTTGAATGTGCAGAGAGACAATGAAAAGAGACTAATTGGAGCATTGTATTAAATGTGAAAAGGTTGTAATTGTTCATCTTCATTAACTCTTATGCAAATAATAAAACCAAAACTTAATTAGAAATACAAATACCCTATGTTATAATATTCTATTATTAATTTTATTTAAAAGTATTATATATATAATTATTAGTGTAAAATATTAAATTAAGTATATAAATTCAAATGTTTGTAAACTTAATAAGAAAGAAACCCTTAATTCTATCTTTAATTAGTGTCTTTTGGTCATAAGCTCAAATCTTTCCTCATAAATGTTTGGTATGATAGTTCAACGGTCAAACATAAGTGGTCATCATCATAGTTCTTCTAACAATGGTATGTATATATAAATGTTTAGACCAGCAATTTATATTTACACATTAAATTTTATAATCGGTTCTGATTACATGCAAGTTATGTATACTACAAATATATCATGTATTAGATGCATACTTTTATTTTAAATAAAAAGTATAAGTAAAAAAATATTTAAGAGAAAGTATATTAAAAATCATAAAATTAATATGCATAATTTAAATAAAATAAAAATTAAATTAAAAGAGATGAATATTAAAAATCATAAAAATTTCTTAATTAATACAAAATATTTGAATTTAAAATTTTAAAAAGTTAAGAATAATATGTGTCATTCTTTAATGGAGACTAACATAATTTTTTTTTAATGTATAAGCAATTAAGATTTGGAGAGAAAAAATACAATTTTTAAAATTGAAAGTATAATCGATTAAGATTTTGGGAGAATAAGAAGTTTTAATATAAAAAGAGAAATTTAAATGTAATTGATAATTTGAGTTTTATTTTTGGTGAAATTTAAAAGTAATTTAAAACTATATATATATATATATATATATATATATATATATATATATATATATATATATAGACGCAACTATAAAAGTCTCTTTTTTTTTTGTAAATAAACATAAAAAAACATGTTGATATAAAAATGCTGACAATTAGAGGCGGCAAGATAGGTTCGGCTAGCCTCCGTCAACACATTTTTATAATTAAATTAAAATTTCACCATTCATTTTTTATAATTAAATTCCTAAATTTGAATTCAGTTTTGTAAATACTAATTTGTAAAATTCTAAAGACTAAGGCCATAAATCCTTGCAAAATAATTATTATTTATTCTTATTAATTACTCAATTAAAAGGAATGACCCTTCAATGTTTTGCCGTATATCATTATTTTAATAGTATTTATGATTAGTTGTTTCTTTTTCTTTTTTTCTTTTTTTGTAATAAAGAGGGGCAAAAGCCCCAAACAAAACAAAAATTACACGACGCGAGAACTTAAAAGATCTACAGAAACATCCTGAAGAAGGAGCTCTAACAAAGGAGAAGGAGGAGAATGATAAACAATAAGATTATTATCATCCTCAAAATGCCTAGAAGCAAACCAGTGAGCACATCTGTTATTTTTTCAAAAGGTGTGGACCCAACGAACATCCCAATCTTCAGCAAGCCATTTGTAAATACGGGAAACAACCTGAGAGTTTATGTGATTGTTGCTCCCTTCTTGGATAGTGTTAAGAGCAATTTCTGAGTCACATTCCAACTCCACTCTCCTAGCACCAGTACCCCAGGCCAGCTCTAAACCTTTGAGGATACCCCAGAGTTCTGCATCAAGAGGATTACAGAAACCTAATCTGAAAGAGAAACCACCCAGAAAAGCACCATTGTGATCTATGATTAGTTGTTTCTAACCCAATTAGTAGTTGGCTTTTCATATTCTTCACCAAATTATTGTTTGTAGAGTTGAAGTGTTATTGAGATTAAATACGATGCATTAAATATATGCTTATATATATGTTAATTTTGTGAATAATTATTTATACTTATGCAATTAAGTTAATGAATGATCTTTTGATATTACCACATTCAACTTCAACTATCAAGTGTTTGTTAGAATATTAAACGTTGTAGCTCAAATATTTGCCAACTCTTCATCTAATATATATGTCACAAATACACACACCTCAGAAAGTCGATTTAGAGGCAACTATAGAAAACATAGATAGATAATAATCTAGATGTAACTATAAGAACATTTTTTTTTTGTGTGGATAAATATGAAAACCTATTACATGCTGATATAAAATGCTGACAGTTATAGGCGGCAAAAAAGGGGCGGGTTAGCCTGACAACACGTTTTTATAATTAAATTAAAATGTTACCCTTCATCTTTTATAATTAAATTCCTATATTTGATTTCATTTTAGTAAATACTAATTTGTAAAATTCCAAATACTAAGACCACAAATCCTTGGAAAAAAGTAATTATTTATTTTTTTAATTACTTAATTAAAAGGAATGATTATTCAAGATTTTGTAGTATATCGTTATTTTAATACTATTTATGATTACTTGTGTCCAACCCAATGAGTAGTTGACTTTTTATATTCTTCACCAAATTATTATTGATAGAGTTGAAGTATTGTTGAGATTAAATATGATTTAAATATATGCTTATACTTATGTTAGTTTTGTGAATAATTATTTATACTCTTATACAATTAAGCTAATGAATAATCTTTTGATATTATCAGATTCAACTGCAACGCACAGATAATACAATAATTTCTTGTCTTAAAAACACACAACTATTTAGGAAATTGAATAATACTAATCTCAATAGTTCCAATCGTAATCACCGAATATATAAGTCCAATGTAATGGTAAAAAATGGCCATTGAGACTACTGTTGCCTTGGTTTGCATGTGAGTATTTGCGGTTCAATAATCATGTAGACTTGAGGAATGGCATTCTACAATTGGTTCAAGTGAATTGTGAAAGTTACATTAAAGCTCAATGATAGATGAGACTAGTACTAGTTGATACTTGATAACTAATCCTAGTAACGGTAGATCAGTAGACTAGGCTTGATGTAAATCTAAGAAAGGATAAACAGCATGCATAAAATGTAAAAGCAATATGCAGTCATGCTAATTTTGTTTTATTTTTTAAAAAAGAAATATAAAGCAACCCCTTACTCGTCAAAATGTAAAAGCAAAATGAAGAAACATACATTGAACAAAGGTTTAAGATCAGAAGTAGGAAGCTACAATGTGTCAATATAGGTTATGACACGTGGGTCGACCCGCGACACGACATGAAAATTTGTGTTTGGATTGACCCGTAAAAAAATTCGTGTCGTGTTCGTGTTGAAGTATTCGTGTTCGTGTTGACACATATTTTTTTTTAATTTTTATTTTTATTTTTTTTTAAATTTTGAACCATTTTTTTTAAATTTTGTTGTCAATTACCGTTTTGACCCCTATTTTGCGTGTTATTCGTGTCGTGTCGTGTCAACACTCAAAAAATTCGTGTCGTGTCAATGTTGAAGATTTTGACACGAACAAAAATGCGTGTCGTGTTCGTGTTAATGTATACGTGTCGTGTCAACCTATTTTGACACCCCTAGCTAGCAGCAGCCAGCTAACATGAGCTAGAGAAAGAGAAGCAAATTAAGTGGAATGTATCTTCTCCCTTCTCGTAATAGTAATATCGATTCACAACCATACAACCTGTGAGGCTTATGTAAACGAGTCTTTTAAGTATTTAAGCCCAAAACCCATAATGGGTTAAAATCTAAAATCATCCACCGAACAAATGGCATCCACCCCGTGCACATAAGTGGATTCAACATTCAAGGCAATATATTAGCATTTGTTTCTTAAAGGTCCGTTTAGGGAAGAGACAATGAAAGAGATGATTTCATCTTGCATTGGTTTTCAAAGATGAAACGGATGAAACGATGAAAAGAAGATGAAGTCACATGCAAGGTCACTTTTTTTCCCGGGGGGGTGTTTGGTTTAGGAATTTTGGGGATTTTGATAGGTAAGTGATAGGTGTGTTTCTCAGATAACCATGTTTGGGAGGGAGTGTTTTCTGAAGATGCCTATCTAAATGTGATAGCAAGGTAAATGTATTTCGACATCAATTTCATCCAATAGATAGCTTTCCGTTTCCCACGTGATATATGGTATTCCTGGAAATCTACCAATCTGCTTTATTTGGTGATTGTCCAAAAGACTTGGGTACCCCCAGTTTAAGCGCGCGAAAGGACAAATTTCGGATCCAGAAGAATGAGTGCAAATGATATTGGAGGGAACACCAAGATACTTTCGATGTTATTGTGCCTCAGAATACTTCGATGTTAGCCACTAATTATTGTGCAACTGGTACTGTTGTCCCTTTCCACCATTCACTTAATAAAAGGTTATTTTCGTAATATCAAAAAATTTCTCCATCTATATTTTACCTACATCCAAACATAGACTTTATAAAAGTTACCTAATTTCCCTATCAAAATTTTATCCAACCAAACAACTTTTTTTACATTTTCCTACCAAACTCATATTCCAACTATTTCCCTATCAATTACATTTTCCTAGTATTCATAAAAATTTATCCTCAACCAAACGCCCCCAATGTTTTTCAAACATTAAGAGACATACATGTCATGAAACAAAGTTCGTGTATTAAATGTGTAAATTAACCAAACTAACTTATAACTCCCGAATATAGTATATATATCTTTACACTTGAGAAGTTTTTCCTTAATTTTAGAGGAAGAAAAGTTCTCATCCCGAATATATCCATCCACCTATAAATCTAATAATGTTTCAATGGGACTTCCATTTATTCTACTCTAAGATCATACAAGAATTTTCCCTTTACACTTTAGGGCTCACACTTTCTTGGTCCAACTTGTTTAGGTCTTACTTCAATGCCTTCAACAATAAGCCCTCCCTTCAATTGATAACCAACCTCCATAAGACTCATCTTAACCTCCTGGTCAGCTTCACCACTGAAGAATTCTCCGAGCTCAATTTCCATCCACCCATCATCCTCTCTTTGGGATGGAACTGGAATCCCTCGATCTTGGATCAATATGTTTCCAAACATTCGGTTCCCATGTAACAGAGTCTCCTCCTTTTGCTTGTTCTCATCTTTCCTGGACAAATATACCCTCCCATTTTTCACCTCATTGGCCACAGCAACTCTTACCTCAGATGCCGCGGAATCAAGCCCATATTCTCGATGGGTAATCTTCATTATGAGATAAGCCCCGTATATCGTGTTTGGTGTTAGAATCCGGGTCCTGATTTTGCCTTGAATTTCTAACCAGTTCACTGTTCTGAGCACAGCCACCTCTTGGAATCTGCAAAATTATTATTAAATTAATTCCTATTTACTATAGCCTATTCGTAGCAGCCTGCTTAACCCGGAATAAATCTTTAATCGCATCGAAAATTCATTGTCATTTATTTTATGATATGTAAATAAAAAATTTCACATCATTTAATCACCTATCATTTATTTTTTATTTATTTTTTATTTTTTATTCATTGTCCTTCGTTGGTCATTTTCTTACTTGACGCTGAGTTAGTGGGGTTGGATATATGTTCGATTCCCGCTGAATGCATTCTTGGGGAGGAGCTGAACCTTTAGCCATCACTGTTCCCCCGCACTCCGGATTAGTCTCATAGCCGGCTCAAAGAGTCGAAGCTCATGGGAATACCGGAGGGAGCCAACTCGTCTCAAAGAGATAATTAGGGTTAGGTAACTCAAAAAAAAAAAGTTTTATTTCTTAACATAAGTTGAAAGTTGAAACTCTGCCTTTTGACCCAATTAATACCAGGGTTTGATATTGATATAATTTTATCTTTTATATATATAAATATGAAGGCAACGTGGAATCATATAAAGAAAAAAGAAATATAAACCTCATAAAAATATGTATGTGATATAATGAAACGGGAAACTATTTTTTTATGGGATTTGATTTTTTTCATGTTACATAAAAATTATTTTTTCATGTTGAACTTAACTAATAATGAGTCCCACACTCATGAAAAAAAAATTTCAACGCAAACCAAAGATACCGAAAACGTACGAAAAAGAAGTGTTTTACCCTCTCTCTTTTTTATTGATTAAAAAAATAAATATTTTATAAAATAATGCAATGGGAGGCCTTGTATTCAACTTGCGCATGCGACGACGTGCAGTTTGTGCAAAAGTCAGGCGTGTAAATCCTAAGCGTGATTTGCCATGCGCCACATCAATTAAACATTATTTTGACAAAAAAAATTGACTTTTGAATCAACCCCATATTAAGAAAATGTTTTCGTTTTAAATTTATTATGGTCAAAAGATAAACTTGATATTACCTTGATTCGGGCATTGATCTCCAAATCCAATACATTGGATCATTGCTCCATGCTATCGACAACTCCCTTGCAGATATGATATAAGACTTTTTACCGGAAGACTTGTCCAATTTGAAGCTCTGCATGTATCAAGGAACATAAATAATAGAACAAAAATCAGGAATTATATGTTGAAAAACAGATAGAGACAAGCATGAAAATGAATTGAAGCTATAGATAGTACCATGTTTCCCCCATCTAGGAGAAGTGGATTGCAAAGAGCATAGAAGAGGTGCTTGTATGAAGAGGATTTGAGTATGAGAGGATTCACAGCTCTGGATACAACGTCATGGTAATCAGAGGGAAAGAAGCTGCGCCAAACCATGTCAGAGTCAGCAGCAGAGCGCAAAGTTGAGGAAACCATTGAGAATCTGCATGCGTCTTGTGGAGATGTGTACGATAGAATTGTTGAAACACAATCATCCGGTAATGTTTCTATGTTGAAACTAGTTGCCATGTGTGGTTTGAATTGATACATCCAAATCCAATTGATATTTCAGTGAGAACCGTGGTTCATTATCAGAGAGGAGGCTTTGCTTTTTATAATATAGGCAAATTTGACAGGGTGTCATTGCTAAATATAATAATGTTTTATATTAAAAAAAAACTTGAAATCGTTATGAGTTAGATCCGACCCTATCCACATTAATTACTGTTATACTTTGTTGCACGTCCAAATTCTAGTCCCTTTGTGTTGCTACACGTATGACGATAACGATGACATGAAACTAATCTCAGTATGTGATAAATTATTTACAAACAATCAATTCAACTCAAAAGCTTAAACTTTTGGTGAGGCTACATTAATGATTTTATATATTCAACACGCCCCTCACACGAGAGCCCACTGAGCTTGAAGGGTGGACAATGCACAGGCCCACCTACCTGTGCGAACAAAGAAATTTCACTTGAAAAAGAAAGTGAGAGGCGACGAGGATCAAACCCGGGACACGAGGCTCTGATACCATGTAAAGAACTAATTCAACCCAAAAACTTAAACTTTTAGGTGAAGCTACATTAATTTGCCACAGTGAACACTGACAGCGTTAAGGCTTGCCTACCGCAACGGGTCAATATGGCCGACCGTCAATCAAAGACAGCGATACTGCAAGGCCTACCCCAACTTATACACAACCTTGATATTTTGGCCAATATTTGGTTCCGTATTTATAGAAATAAATATATGGAATAATATTTTTGCTAAAATCTGGAGATAATTTCTGCACTTACATCAAAATGAGTGAGATTTTTTTTTCTTTTCTTTCTCCATCTCTCTTAATAGGACCCCATTTATTTTCATACGAGTGCCTTAAATAAAATTATGTCCTTCACTTGGGATAAATATTAATCCCAGACCATATACCAAACCGTCATTTTCCATTGGAACTTCCTTCCCTGTCACACAATACATACCCACATGCGGCGGCTATACATATTTGATAAGTGGGGGCGGCTATGGTCAAACATTCGGGTAAGAACTGGTGGGCATCAATATCTCATACCTGTAAGATTTTATTAAAAATAATCACTGACTTCTTCATATATTGTAAAATAATGCCATCTGTTCACGTTCATATGTACACGCATTATTTAATATCGATATAATTTCTATCATTTGATTTTAACTCATTTCATGTTCTTTGGGTAGCAAAAAAAGTTCATTGCAGCAGAGTACTGAATTCGGTACTTTTTTTTGAAAATAGAAATTTTTTTCTTTCATTTGACTTCAGACTTTTGTTTATATTTTCCTTTAAGTTTTAATAATAATAATAATACCCAAAAAGTTCCCCTTAGGATAGATGCCACAAGGAATTATTTTAAATTACATTACATATTCAAAGTTCATTAAAATTTTGGTCTAATATTTAGTTATTTTGACCATGACATCGCTTGACATTGAGAATATCTTTTATGGAAAAAATGTGTGTATCTCTTTGTGTTTATCCCTCTTTCATCAAAGGATTTAAGTTTGTGTTCTTTAAAAGAACACATATTGGTATTCAAAAAAAAAAGAAAAAAAGAACACATATATTTTTTTATCTTTTATGTATACGTGGAGGGATCTTTTGACAGAGTAAGGCGTAGAAATATTACTCCCCATCTTAACTGTTAATTTTCGCTCATATAATGATTATAGTTTATAGAGTCATATTAATTAATTATTAATTTCAAATAAATGACAACCGTTAGATGGATGAAAATCAATAACTGAGATTGAGATAAGAAGTAAGATTTCTAAGACTTACTTTGGACTCTGGAGTAAAAAAAATCCCTATATATAGTTGTGAACGTTACATTTTTATACCTTTTGTTTACACACATTTTTTTGAAAAAAAAAAAATAGAGACCAAGGAGTATATTGACTATCGTGTTTATCTTATATTATTGTATTAAAAAGAAGTAATATAAAAAAATTAATATGCTAACATCGTATAAAAAAAATTAATATGCTAACAATTAACATTAATATAAACCCAAAGTCTCTTCACTTGTGGTAATTTTCTTAATTTTATATTAAAAAAAGTAAGATACAGTATTAGTGAAACTGTGTAGTATTCTTATTTAATATTATTTTATCAATGAAATTTGTGTTCATATATAATTTGTTTTAAGTTTTAGATATTTATTAATTTTTTCTAAGCATAAATATGTTATTAATGTAAATTTATGTATTGAGTATTTATTTTGACTCCCAAATTACATAGTTCAAGCTTCACCAATAGACACATGCACCATAACTAATGACTTCAATTTTTTAGTAAAACATTTTTAATTAAATAGTTTGATTAAGATATTGCATGGTTGAATTTATCCGCAATTTGTTTATACTAGTTTTTTATTTTAATATACTTACTAAGGATTATATAATTCTTCATTCCAACTTATCAAAACATAATTTAAAACTTATGTGAGCAAAATTATTTTTCAAAATAGCTTTAAAACTAACAAGTAATTTATATTTGTAATATTTTTAATGGGACACAATGATAATTGAGATTTGAACTTATTTTTTTTTAAATTAGCCAACCTCTCACTACTAGCTCATCTCTTATGGCTTTGGCTGTAACTTTATAAGCTATATATGCTAATCTTAATAAATATAAAAACTATAATGCCCATGTGTTTTTTACCTAAGTAAAATTTTTTTTCAAGTGTCTATTCAAATATTATTCAACTAATTTCAAACTGCAGTTATGAGTTATGATAATCTTGTATAAACAAGCAGTTATATTTACGCTTATTATTTTTATGTTGCATAAGAAATTATTTAAGAAATCAACTCTTCACACACAAATTCAAAGTGAGTTCTACTTTTTTTTTTTTCTTTCTCACTAATAATAGACCTTCCCTCCACAAATAAGTCGGTAGAAAATAATAATTACTGCATGAAAAAAATATTATCTTTAATTATTGAAAAAGTGTTTGTCCTTTTGAATAACATAAAGTTATGCTATTTTTAAAAAAAGATAGACACAAAATAATATTTTTTATTAAAATTTAAATTAAAAAAAACCACTCACTTTCTCTCCTATTATTTTTTTTTAATTCTTGTGTCTATCTCTCTCCTAAAATGACATAACTTATATCGTTTAAAATAACAAACATTACACCCTTAATTATTTATGAAAAATAAGTTAATTATTTTTGTGAAAGTACATATTAGCAGTGCCCGCAACCTTAACCCCGCCATTATCAGTTATCAGTTGTAACACCACTAATCTTAAAGACCGCAACCATGTCCATGTCCATGTCCATGTCCATGTCCATTACCCCCAACCTTAAAGTCTCTCCTTCCCCTTCTTTGCATCACCCTTCCTCATTCCCATCACTATTATCTTGCAAAGCACCCATCTTTGGCTCCAACCCTTCGGTCCTCACCCGAAGACTTTTCATTCCTTCGGTTTCCGGCATGTGGGATGCCTTAACCGGCGGCAATAACAATGCCCGTGAAGCCGTACTTGCAATTCGACGTGGGATGTCTCTCTTCAGACAGGTTTGTGTTGTCTTGTTCACCTTCTTCCTCATGCACTAGTAAAAGCACCTTCTTTCATCGTCCTCAGTTTTTTGTTTTTATATATTTTTCTTCTTTTGTGGCTATTAATTAACCTTTTTGTGGTGCGCTTCTAATTTCTAATTAATTGTTAAGGGTGACGTGTCGGGGTCTCTTGTGGAGTTCGACAAGGCAATTCAATTGGACCCTCGTCAAAATGCGTGTAGGTTTATGCAACTCTTGTATGAATTGACTTTGGAATATTGATGTTTGATTCCCTTTTGCATGAAATTGGTTATGGTTATGGACATTGTGATTGTTACCAGATCTTTGGCAAAGGGGCCTCTCACTTTACTACCTTAATAGGTACTCACACTTTAGACTATACCTTCTTTTTTATTTTGAGGATAGCTCTCTGTTGGGTCTAACTAATTTTGAGATAGAATCATTGTTGATTTTTTTATTTTATTTTTGAGTCTTTTCAACCGGTTCATCCTTCGGACTAATTCGGTTCGAGCACTGTCGGACCCTATAGAGGGGTGGCTCTCCCAATATCATTTTTCCATTCCCAGGGCTCGAACACGAGACCTCTGTTTAAGGGACACAAGTACTTTACCACTTGTGCTAATGGTGTTTGGTTCATTGTTGAAATTTTTAGTGACGAGGTCGAATGGAAAATAGGTGTTGGCAAGCACAATTACAATGTACCACAACTGAATATATCAAAAAGAGATTGAATTGGATCCCTTTTGCCATAGATTTGAAGAAGGAGCTGAGCAGTTTCGGTTAGATGTTGCGCAAAATCCAAATGATACAGAAGAGTCCATATGGTGCTTTCTGTGTGAAGCTCAACTATATGGAGTGGATGAAGCAAGGAAACGATATCTTGAGGCTAGTCATTGATTCTATTACTAGGAAGTTAACATGAAAAAAGAACATGAAATATTCAAGTAACTATCCACTTTCTAAATTAATTTAGGTTGGCAAAGATCCAAGGCCAGTCATGCGTGAAGCATATAACATGTTTAGAGATGGTGGGGATCCTGAAAAGGTTTGCTTTAATGTCTTTTGAATTAAAATGCAGTTATTTATGTTAGATATAAAACTATGTATAAGCCTTCACCTAATAGCTTAATCTAATTTTAGGGTAGTTGATCCTTGACAATTTCTAAAGCATGTCGTTTATTTTCTTTTCTTCCTGATCATTTACCTCATATAATCTGGTAATCCTTTCCAGATCTTGAGTCCTTTCCGAGATACTTAAACTATGATTCTGTAGGCCCAAAACTATGATTCTGTAGGCCCATGTATTAATCTGATCTAGTTTTCATGAATTCTAATATATTTCTTATGCTTACACAAATGTTACACTTTAGCTTATCTTCTTGAAGATTAATTATGCCGATATGCCATATGTGAAGGGGACACTACATGGTCCTCAGCCTGTTATTAACTGTAATAACTTATATAGTATCTTGAAACAAAATTTGTTTCCATACAAAAATTAGAAAGCAAAATGACAAATCCACTTCTTTTTGCTGAGAGAATAAAAATGGGAAAATTAACAGTGAGGACTTGCTGAGGCTGATATTTATCCTCAAGGACCTGTTAACCACATCTGCAGCACATTGACAGAGACTAAATTATATTAATTCAAAAACTAGGAAGATGACATTATTCCAAATGAAACTACAAAGTCAAGAGTGCAACTTTTTTAGAATTAGGCTTGGAGGACCAAATGTGAAAATAGCCTAAATTAGTTTCCCTTTTTATGTGGGTTTTGAATTCCATAAGATCTTTTTTTATTTTGTAAAAATTTGTATTATGTTTGACAATTAGATTAAGATTCCATATTTACAATTTTTCTCTTCTCATTGTCTATATCGTCATAACTGTAAACTTATAAGCAGGTTTGCAATTCTTATCTAAGTTCAGTTCCCTGCATTAAAGGCTATAAAATATTATTGCTAGACTTTGTTATTGGTACTCCAAGATTGCTCATACCTTTATGAAATGCAATCTGAAACAAGCAATTGATTTGGCTGCCTAGCTTGTGGCTTCATTCTCCAACAGCAGAGAAAACGACTATTTTTATGCTTCACTATATGCTGGGCTTTATTACGAATCTCAGGTATTGTGTGTGTGTGTGTTTGATATCATTATTGATAATACAACTCTAGCTGCATCTTGCAAGAATCACATTTTCTTCTCATAGTCTAGGGGCTGTTCTTAACATAGAATGATTTTGTATTAATGATTTTTCCATGTGTAGAATGAAACAGATGCTGCTAAAGTTCATATAGTTGCTGCGTGCCAGTCTTCTTATGGGCAGAGGTATGGTTTTGAATTTGTACACATATTTTGGCTAGACAAAAATTGCAACTTGGAAACATGAAAAATGCACATTCATTCTTTATTGCAGATCTGATGATTATATGGCTTCTCTTTCCAAGGTTCACTGTCTTTGTCGAAATTGGGTCTTCAACTAAAATATTTTGCAGTGTGTTCATTATTGAGCATGATGAAACCGATTCATAAGTTGTTTTATACACTATTCACAGTACCTTGTGAGTTACTGTGCTACTGAGTTGCAGTGTGTTCATTATTGAGCATGATGAATTTGTTGTCTAAATATCCCCCCAAGCCGTTATACCAATCTTAATGGCTTAATATTAGTAGATATAGTAGGAAGTTTCGTTAACATGAACTTTATTTATTTTATTTTTTTGTAAATAACATGTACTTTATTAAAATAACGAAATTACTGTTGGGGCAGGATGTACTTACAACCAAAAAAATTTATTACCTTTATAACCAACTTAATCACCGTTGATTTCCGTCAATCTAACGGTTATCATTTATTGAAAATTAATAATTAATTAATAAATGCGACCTAATAATTTTCAATAAATGATAACCGTTAGATTGACGGAAATCAACGGTGATTAAGTTGGTTGTAAAGGTAATAAACTTTTTTAGCGGTAAATATATCCTTCCCCATTATTGTTTATATGATGAGTAAACTACCTAGGTTGATTTTGCATCAAATTAATCTTACGAATAATATTTACCCTAGCAGATTATATCAATATTGAAATTTCACACAATGTCGGAAATATAGTTTCCACTGATCGGGTCAACCTCAATTTAGGATTGAGTTTAATCAAGTTTGCAGCTTTAGTCAATTGATGTGAATAATCTGTTCAGAATTAAATTGATTCAACTTTATATTAGAAGGATCATGATGAGGATGATCTTACTTTCGTCTCTTATTCTTCAGTGAAATATTTTGTTAGAATATTAAGATGTATTCTATTTTATTAGACTTAATATTTCTCATGTTGTATGAGATAAAATTATCTCTTCTGCACATATAAAAGTATATGGGGTCATGTGATGAGAAGAGAGAAAAAAAAATGTGCATCCCACATATTTTTATATGTGTAGTAGATATTTTTATCTTTTACATCATGAGAAACATTAAACATTTTATTATTATAAATATAAGCCTTGTGTGATTATATTACACAACAGTTTCATAATTTTAAGTTGGTACCAGTTCTGCAAATCCCTAATTTTGTTGCGCCTATTGCACAATGACTATCCTCCTCCTTGTTGTGCATATTATCGGCAAGTGATTACTTTATTTCTTTATTTTATTTTTTTATTTAATTACTTTATTTTTTTATTTTGTTTAAACAAGTTATGTCTAGTCAGTTTTTTTTTGTAGTTAGAGATATGGATCCGACATGAATTCTTATTTTGGGTCTTTTCTTAATAAATTGTCTCTAATTGTTGTGTTTACCTTGAATTTCAAGTTTTTTTTTTTTATGAATTGATAACTCGTATAGGAATAAAGAAAGTTAGAGTTCACAATAGATATATTAAGATCTTAGTCTTGACAGGGGTAAAATATCAATTCTTGTATGATCTAGACACGAGCTTGTGGGAATTGCGAACTTTATAATTATCGCGCTTAAGGCTTAATTCGAAAGGAATTTTTAAGAAATTAGAATTCCAATTGGATTAAAGGGTTAAAGAACTAAGATATTAGGATTTAGCCAATTAATTCATAGATGATGAATTAATTGAGATGAAATATTAATAAATTGAATTAATTCTTGTAAGAAGGATCTGAGGTGAAATAAACCCTAACTCCAGTTTTTATTATTGATTTTAAAATCCAATTTTTAATTCTCTGAATCATTGTCTTGCAGTTTATTCTTAAGTGAAATTGTCTTTTATTTTATTTTCATAATTGAAAATTACTTCTACAAAACCAACTTGATTTGTCTAAATTAAGAGGAATAGTTAACATAGTATTTGGTGTCCCTAATCTTTGTGGGAACTGTTCGGTCCTAGAGAACCGTAAAATAATACCGTAGGGTATGTGCTCAGAGATATCCTATAGACAGATATCTTGGTTGGCTTTATAGTCAATCCCTCAATCACTGTGCACAAGCAATAGGCTTATAGCCAAGAAGTGGGTGTGTGCACAATGTGGGCATAAGTAGTAAATGAGTTCACAATATGTACCTGAGAATCTTTAGCCTTTTATTTACAGGAGTTACCTCTTGGGTTTGGGCCGTGTAAATATCTCAGTTAGTGTAGGATTCAACTCCTTATTTGTAGGGATAGGGGTTTTATCTACCTTATCTTTATTGTTCTTTATTGTTTCATGCTCTTACGATAATTGAGTCATTATCCGTTAAGGGAATTATGGATAGGTAGTTAGGATATGGATATATTCTATAACAGGAACCATACTCTCTCGTTACTTATTATTTTTGCGACCGATATACTTGCCGTGAGCGCAACAAACAAGATCATATATCTCTTTTACTGTTAATATGGTTCGTGAATTTCTTGATTCTCTTTGTGATTCCCATTGGGATGCAATTGTCAGAATTCTGCGACAAATCAAAATATCACCAACAAAAGACTTATCATATAAAGATAAAGGACATGATTATGTTTATAGCTACTTAGATGTTGATAGCACATGTTCTCGTTGTGATAATCGATCCACTTTAGGCTATTTGTGTCATCTTTGGGGAAACCTAATTTTTTGGAAGAGTAAGAAATAAATTGTGGTAGCAAGTCAAGTGCGAAGGTTGAGTATCAAACAATGGGACTTGCAAAATGTGCGTTTATCCGGTTAAAACAATTGATTAAAGAACCAAGTCACTGTAAATAACGTTGTGTGAAACTGATTTGCGACAATCAAGTAGCGTTACACATATCACTGATTTGCGACAATCAAGTAGCGTTACACATATCTTTCTAACCTGGTGTTTCATGAGAGTATCATGCATATCAAAATTGACTGCCACTTCATCCAAGAAATGATTTAGTCTGGAGAGATTAGAAAAATATTCATAAATTTCAATTATGACTTATAGATATTTTCACTAAAATTCTTAGAATTTCCCGAATAGACTGTATTTGTAACCAACTTAACCTATATGATATATACACATGTATTTAAGAGGAAGTGTTAAAATATAAAAATATATATTATTTTATTATCCCACATCATGTAAATAGGGTCTAATCTCATGTACTCTATTATTATAAAAATAAATCTTGCGTCATATACATAGTGTCACAATCTTAAGTTATTTATCTATTTTACTCTTAATTTCGAATAGGCAATGGTGACTTGCAGGTATTTAGGTGTTGATTATGTACAATACGACACGCATACCAATATTTTAATTTTATTTTATCTTAAGTATAGGAGAATTTTGAAACTTCAAGCGTATATTCCCAGAGCGATTTTGGGTTAAATGATAGAGGCTTATGTTTAATATATGCGATATGTTTTTCTCCTTATATGGGATAAAATACCGCTCCTACGCATACAGCAAAAATTATGTTAATATTTATTTTAATTTTTTTTAAAAAAATGAGTCTCGTATATTTTGTACTTATAATATGAGATAACAAGTCTCCTGTAACATAAGATTTGTATTCCCCTTTTCTCCTATTATATATCAAATAACTTAGGGAAATTATACTCTTATGTTACATAAGATTCATCTCTCATGTTACACTCACATAAAATGATGTGCCTCTTTTTTTTTTTAAATTAAGGGTTATGTTTATCTCATTTTACATGAGATAAACATCTCTCCTACACACACAAAAAGGGTTGGGTCCCACCACTTTTTTTTTCTCTCTCCTCTTACATGTGGGTCCCACTTATACTTTTATTTCTACAACATGAGGTAATTCTTTTCCTACAACATAAGAAAAATATATCCCTTAAATTAATGGATCCCACTTAATTTATCTCACAACATAAGAAGATAACTTCCCTCTTACAACATGAGAGAAGTAAAGTCCAATAACTCGTGCCTAAACCATCAGCTGGATCAATTGGAAGGTGTTATTTTAATTTAATCACTATCTCGAGTCTGGATTAAAAAAATTAGATAAATGAATCGACAGAGAAATAATAAAAAAAAAAAACAACAACAACAACAACAACAAAACTCCTGGCTAAACATAATACGAGAAATTAGGTTACGAGACTCGGCGAGGGTGTAGTGTAGGTTTGTTTTTAAAACTAAACATCTTGCAAGTAGTTAGACGTGACTCGTTGGGATTTGGTAGCAGCCGTCTTCTTTCTTTCTTTTTTTCTTTTGGCGCAAAGCATATTATGGACAGTGGCAAAAATTCCGTACTAGTGTTAATTTGTAAAAGTATCTCCACGCTGAAACACATCCGTAAAGATTGACGAGAGTAGAGCAGTCAAACACGTAGGGTTGACTGACGTGACCAGTCCCGCCACATACATCGACGTGATCAGCAGCCACAGATCCAATTCACGTGTCTGCATGAATCCCGCCATTTGGTCTGACTCATTTGAGTCCCGCCATATCAATTGGCGAGACTATTGCAATAAATGAAAAGAAGGGCGATCATGATATATTTATCAATTCCAACTCTCACCCACTTTTTTCAAGTCTGTCTTCAAACAAATTAAAAAAAAAAGAAAAAAGAAAAAGAGTAATCCATGCAACAACTCTGAAAAACAATTTAACACGCCAGAGACCAAACCAAACCAAACAAAATTATAAAAAAAATTGGTACTTACCCAAAGGTGGCTTTCTGTTATTGGACGAGGATCGCCAATGACCCTCACCTTGTTTTTTTCTCCAATTAGCCATGCCCCAGATGAAAAAGGGTAAGACCCAGAAGAAGAAATTTGAAAACTTTGCTTGCAAGCAGTGCAGAGCCACAAAAGAAGAAATTTTTTTTCCAAACTTTGGCGGATTCCAGGAATTCCCTCAACAGAAAGAGAGAGAGAAGAGAGAGAGAGAGAGAGAGACAGGTGTATATTATTGTACAGGGACACAAAGATACAAACAAAAAAACGATGGTGTGAAAAAGTAAGAAGAAGAAGAGAATGAAATTAAGGAGTTTAAAGAAGTAGCATGATGATGATGATGTCCTCAGTATTACTATTGTATAGTCTCGCCAATTGATATGGCGGGACTCAAATGAGTCAGACCAAATGGCGGGATTCATGCAGACACGTGAGTTGGATCCTACGTGGCTGCTGATCACGTCGATGTATGTGGCGGGACTGGTCACGTCAGTCAACCCTACGTGTTTGACTGCTCTACTCTCGTCAATCTTTATGGATGTGTTTCAGCATGGAGATACTTTTGCAAATTAATACTAGTACGGAATTTTTGCCTATGAAGAGAACAAAACTAGGACAGTACTCGAAGTGAAGTGATGTAATCACGACTTGGACATATATGACTACTCCAGCTAATCATGTTTTCAAAATTTGTCCTATCCTGAGAGTTGCTCTTTATATATATATTTCCAGTTTCGATTAAAAATTCTTAATTCATCTTCAACATGTAGAATGAGTTACTAGATCCTTTTGTTTTTATGTTTACATGCCGTGTGTGCGTACCATAATGCCTAAAGCATCATTGTGTATTTTTTTTTTGGGTGGGCGCAATGTTAATTCAATGAAAGACGTGAACATACACAAACCATAATCGCATATGGTTTTGCAATTGACTAACTGCGTACAGCAAGTTGTGTTCAAAATAAGCAGCAACTATATTTTTTTATTAAATGGTGGAATATGGAATCAATAACCACCCAATTGAGTAAGATGCTTTACCCCATGGTATATTTAGCTTGAATTTGTTATTATTAAGGAATATCAATCATATGCCAGTTTGGCATATTCTCAATCGCAAGCATCATAAGCTGGATATTCTCTTATAAATTAAAGGATATGCCGTGTGCATATGCAGCTTATGTTCAAGAATTTCGTCAGTTCTCGTTATTTGACCAAATTGCCCTCCTCCTTCGTTTTACCAAACGAAAGCGAGGCTTTTGGAAGGATCAATTCATTAGTACACATACAAAAACACTGCATTATTAATTCTTTTACTCCTTCCATTCACTTGAGGCTACGAAAGTTTTGGCCTTTGGTCATTGAACTTCATTGGCATTCTTATTTCATTCCAAGTAATTTTAATGTAATTTTAACTTATCTTAGTGTTATTTTGTATTATTTAATAATCATGTATTATTACCTATAATCTTTTTTTTTTTTGGAAATATTACCTATAATCTTTTTATACCAATAAGTTTGATCCCTCTAAGAGGATCTTGAATGAAGATTGTATGGTAGCAATTAATCTAGTATCATGCCATAAAGGATGATAGATCATTATGCATGGGGCGTTTGGTACGCGGGATTTTGAGAGATTCTCGGGAAACTGAATTTTTCTAAATTTTAAATTTTCAAATATTATCATAAACTGAACGTAAAAATCATATTTTTGAAAATCGAGATTCCCAGACAAATAAAAAATTTTCCTGTACCAAACGCTCCCTAAGAGATTAAGGTCGAAGGACATGTTTGTGTGTACACAACTAGAGAAAATAATTCAGAAAGTGTAGATATCCTAATTAGTTACTAAATTGATAAGAAATAAGATAATAATTTTTTTTAATTCTAAGATAATAAATGTTATCCCTTAGTAATTGGGTGTTTGTTTTATCATAATAAATTAAGTAAATATTATTACAAGATATTTTATTTGATAACAAGTTTTTCAATAAATGTTTTAAGGTATGTACGGGGGTGGTGGGTGAGTGAAACTGAAAAAACATGGAAAACCTTTGACAAAAACTATAAAAACCGCTGCGCTCCTGTGAGTTATGCTCTTATTTATTTCTCCTTCCTAAATAAACAAAAGTGCCGTGGTCGTGTTCTACAGTTCCAAGGTGAAGCAAGTACCTGTCTTCGACATTGATTTCCGATGTCGTCTGAACCGTTGATTCAACCGTCGGAAGCATTGTCGGGATCTCAGTCGTCACGGCAATGGATTTTCGAAGAGTTGCCGAAGGCCACCATCATATCGGTGTCGCGACCAGAGACCGGAGATATTAGCCCAATCCTCCTTTCTTATACCATTGAGTTGCAGTACAAACAGGCACACACACTTTCTCTCTCTTCTTCTTCTTCTTCTTCTTCTGAAACTTTTCCCCTGGTTCTTGTTGGTGACGTCAACTAAAAGTGAAGAAAGAGATAGCCGAATTTTAATTTGCATATCTGAGCTAGAAAAATGAACGAACTACTCTGGTTTATGTTTTGCCAAGTGTTCTTCTAAGCCTAATTTCAGGGAAAAAGGTGGTTTCAGTAGCTTATTATGCTACAATTGTAAACATGTTAGGAAGACTGAAGATGACTCTACAATAGCAAATTATTAATTATTGTCTGTTAAAATACTTTGCACAATTAATGCCTTTAGATATTCTTTTAGCATTAAATGTTAATTAATTATTGTTACCATCTATGGCTCGGTATGGATTTTAACCTGTATACCTTTCTTTCAATCTGTGTGTCTTTTCACCCTCATTGAAGGACCATTTTTTGATTGTTCTTATAATCTTATGAACGTCAATTTGTTACACCTTAATTTTTTGATGTTGTGATGTCAAGCGGTAATAATTGCATTCTGTGCTATACAGTTCAAGTGGCGTCTACTGAAGAAAGCATCACAAGTTCTCTATTTACAGTTCGCTTTGCGGAAACGTGCATTAATTGAAGACCTTTACGAGGTTTGCGCACTCTGTGTTGTATTCTGCAGCTTTGTTCCTTTTAATCTTTTGGGGTTCCCCAATATCACAGATCCACATAGGTTCTATAACTAGATCCCTTTTCAGGTTACTCCGTTGTTATTAAGTGAAGATACACGTTTCCAATAGTTTTAGTTGCCTATACTATATTCGATATGATTCAAGCTGATTTCTTTTTCATAACTTTCTCTTAAAGGTAAAAGAATGGCTTCAAAGCTTAGGAATAGCAGATCAAACTGTGATGGTGCAAGATGACGAAGAACCTGATGATGGAGCTGTACCTTTACATCAGGAAGACAGTGTTAAAAGCAGGTATTTTAATTTATATTACCACAAAGTAGAAATCTGATACCTGATGCATTTTTAAACTTTTAACACCTTAAAATGTGGTAGTTCTTAGGTTAAGAACTTAATGATTTACAAGTTAAGCACTTCCTAGTTGTGGGTCCAAAACTTTCGATAATTAATTTGGGCACAAAGCATGGGATATCTTATTCTAAAAAAGGTGGACCAGGGGCGAAAGGGGTTGAATTCAAAATTTCATGTCTTGACTACATTGAATACTACTACTTTTTCCTAAGCTTATGCATTTTGAGACTACATGATTTATGTTATTTATTTTAATAAAAGTGCTCTTATTTATATTTCTAGCAGCAAGTTATACAAAACAAAGCCTTTAATATTATTTGGGGCTGCGCCCCTCTTTATTTACAAAAAAAAAAAAAAAAGGCCTTTAATGTTATTTGCTATAATTCTTTAGGTTTTCTTTCTGAAACGGATTAAAGAAACATACTTATTAATTTGGTTTTTTGTAAAGATATGTTCCATCCATAGCTGCTCTCTCAATAATTCGTCCATCACTAGGAGGTCAGCAGTCAGTTGCGGATAGAGCCAAAGTCTCAATGCAGGGTTATCTGAATCATTTTTTAGGAAACCTGGATATTGTGAATTCTCAAGAGGTAACAAGTGATGCTTCACAGTTGACAATGGTTAGATTTGTTTAGATAATGCGTAGCAGACCTTCAGATCAGTGTAGATGATATTGTTACTTTTTTTTGGGTCATGGGTGGCATTAGGTTCTGTATCTAAGAAAGTGAAATCAAAATGGGGTCCAAATGGCTGTTTATGTTTTTATTTATTTTTTGAAACTGATTTTCATGATAAAACTGTTTTTATTCAGCTACATAGACAATTGTACAACCCAATTCATGAGATGAACATACACAGTTGTATGCTGTGTTGAATCCTCTTGATTAACTCAACACCTGTGCCTACTTCTAAAGAATTCTTAGAATTTATGCATCATAATAGCACAACCTCAGAAATCTGTTTCCTTCGGTGTGTTCTATACGATATTAAGGATCTATTACTATTTTGGTTTTAGATACACATATTTATTTACACGATGCTCCATTACCGTGTATGTAAGGTGACTTCTGCGGAGCTATAACTATCTTTCCTAACATAAGGTTTTGGATTATAGGTCTGCAGGTTTTTGGAGGTCTCCAAGCTATCTTTTTTACAGGAGTATGGTCCAAAACTGAAAGAGGGATATGTAACAGTGAAGCATTTGTCAAATATTTCGCAGGATTCAGATGTAACATGCCTTCCATGTGATTGGTTTCGTTGGTGCGATAACAAGTGGGAGAAGGTTTGATTCTGAAGGGTTTTTTTTTTTTTTTTTTTGTGGTAACAATCGATAGCTTAGTTTGTTTGGCTGCATAGTGTTCTAAAGTACCATGCAGGTGTAGTTATGAACTGAAATAATCTAACCAACTGGGGCTTTGGATTCGGTGCTTTCTTTCAAGTTTTAACATTAACTTCAAAATTTGTACAGACCCAATGCTTTCCAAGTGATCTTTGCATATAAAATTTTCCTACCATCATCTGTTAAGTACTTATCTTCTTCTTGTCTCAGTGGAATTAAGTCAGCATTTTCCTGTGACATACAGTTATTCCCTACCTTTATTATGAACATTTACACTTACATCTTTCCCATAACTAAGTTTCAAGGCTGAATGCTCCAATACCAGGCATATAATAGTAGACAATATTTAGTTTTGAAAACAATACTTAGTTAGCATTACATTATTTTTCTCAAGGATTCTCTTGGTAAAGGCCTGCCAGTATCTCAATGATATGCACTCTCCTTCTGAGGCCTAGAAAACACAGAGAGAGAGTAAGCATATCATTTTCCATGCCTGAAACATAAACTGCTAGTGTAATAAGGAGAAAAATAAGGGATGCAATCAACGGAAATTTTGAATATTACTGTGATCATATCATGATTATACATTTTATAGTAATCTCCTGAATTTCATAGGCTATAAACGTCCATTACATGTTATGTTTCAAGCCATATAGCTGTGTAGAGTTCAACAAATAGATCTAAAAGTTATTAACAAAAATATGAATTACTCTGCAAGTATGTATAAAATATCAAATTTGGTTAACATTAATGGATAGTAATTTTGCATGATGCGATAATCTGTTAAAGTAAAATCGGGGTTCAAATTTAAAACATATAATACCTCTGTAGTAATTCCATTTTATAATTATATTTGGTCTCCTGCAACTGGTCTTTCTTCATTTCATTTAATCTTAGTTTTAATCTAGATTACATTGTCTGCACACAGGTATGGGCTGTTTTGAAACCTGGGTTTTTGGCATTGCTGGATGATCCTTTCAACAACAAACCACTGGATATAATTGTTTTTGATGTCCTCCCATCCTCAAATGGAGATGAAGGGATCAAACTACATTTAGCTGATCCTATAAAGGAACGCAATCCTTTGTGTTACACATTTAAGGTGATCAAATTTTGTCTCTGAAGGAGCCCTTTTTACCTTGAACATGAAGATTATAAATGGTTAAATTTCTCATGGACTCTATCCATTCTTTGTTGTCACAGTCAGTCAAAGCAACAAGATTGACCTGACATTACAAAATTATGATGAACGAACTCTTTTTAGACTTCCTGTTATCTCATGTGTTATCACCTGAACTAGGCTCTGATTGTTTGTTGGTAGAGATCTGAATTCAATATTTTAGATTCAACTTAACTTTAATGTCTCTGGTAGGGATGGATGGCTTGTTTGAGATATGGACTTCAAATTGATTCAAAATTTCAGTTATTATTCTACTTTAACTAATTTACTTCAACTAATATGATAACTGTCAGGCACAAAGAGAGTCAAAGACATACCTTCTTGAGACATATAATGTCCCCAACTTCCTTTTTCCTTTTCTTATCAGCTGTTAGAAATCATGGTCATCAAATTTTAGTACAGTGCAATTTATTGCCTGTTGGTTTCGGAGAAGAGTTTAGTCCATGAACAACCAATTTATTGGAGAAAACTAGGGATAACTAACTACCTTCTATTGTATTCCAAAATTTTATTGATAATTATTTGAACTTATTAATAGGTTACTACTGGTAGTAGGAGCATATGGTTGAGAACTACCAGTAGTGCTAAAGTTAAATCCTGGGTTACTGCAATTAATGAAACTGGTCTAAGACCTATGGAGGGTTGGTGTTGTCCTCATCGCTTTGGTTCATTTGCTCCCGAAAGAGGTTTGACAGAAGATGGGAGCCAAGCCCAATGGTTTGTAGATGGACAGGCAGCATTTGAAGCAATTGCTTCTTCAATTCAAGATGCAAAATCAGAGGTACATGTTTTCCGTTGTTAACCAAGAGTATATTCAAGTTGTTTTGGTGTCCTAATTCAATTCTTAATAATAAGAAGATGGAAACTGGCTGCAGATCTTTATTACAGGATGGTGGCTTTGCCCAGAGCTATATCTGAAACGGCCTTTTGATAGTTTTCCTACCTTTAGGTTAGAGTCATTACTAGAAGAAAAGGCTAAGCAAGGGGTTCAGGTACATGTAATATTTGCATTGATATAGTCAGTTCTGTTTGTGATCTTCATAATCAGAAGCTTTTATGCTTTATAAGATTGAATTACATTAAAGAGAATTGTGCTTATGCCATTAAATGATTGTACAGATCTATGTGCTTCTTTACAAGGAGGTTTCTCTAGCTTTGAAAATCAACAGCTTGTACAGTATGAGAAGATTGCTCAAAATTCATGAGAATGTGAGGGTATTGCGCTATCCTGACCATTTCGCCAGTCGTGTGTATTATTGGTATGTACTATTTATTAATAAGTGAAGTTTGAACATCACCTTAGAATAAATTCGGGTGGGCCTTATACGTGTGTATATGATGAATAATGGCTTGGTTTCTTACAGGTCGCACCATGAAAAACTTGTAATTGTTGATTACAAGATTTGCTATATTGGAGGATTAGATTTATGCTTTGGTCGATATGACACACCTGAACATAAAGTGGGTGATTGCCCCTCTGTCATATGGCCTGGAAAGGACTATTACAACCCAAGGTATTTCTTTTTCCTATTTTGATTGTTCAATAATTTTGAAAAAAGTGGAACATTTTTCAAAACAATGCACTGTATATGTTACAACAATAAAGGGCGCAAGTTCCTTAACACTGTATGGTCCATTGTAACATGTTTAGCCATGTCTTATATGCATTGCATTCACAAGATTGAGAGGAAGATTTTATCCTAGAACCAACAGAAAAGCCTTCACTGTTGTTGATGAGTGATGACATCCAATATTGGTTGGTGGCTGGGTGCTTTTTCAAGTTTTTGGTAATATATAATTTCTGGAATTTTTTGTTCATGGATAGAGAATCTGAACCAAATTCATGGGAAGACACCATGAGAGATGAATTGGATCGCAAGAAACATCCCCGTATGCCATGGCATGATGTCCAATGTGCTCTTTGGGGACCTCCCTGTCGCGACATTGCTCGGCACTTTGTTCAACGTTGGAACCATGCTAAGGTATAGATACCCAAATATGTTTTTTCATCTTACATGTTTCTTTTTATTATCATCCTTGTCCTCTCTTACGTGATGAATCATATCATAGAGAACTAAAGCTCCAAATGAACTTGCGATTCCACTACTTATGCCTCACCATCACATGGTCATCCCTCATTACTTGGGAAGAAGGAAAGAGATAGACATTGATGGAAAGAAAGATGAAGACAAGAACAAAGAAATTGACATGCAGGATTCATTTTCCTCACAGTCTCCAATGCAAGATATACCACTACTTTTACCTCAAGAAGCTGTTGGATTAGTTACTTCAAAAGGAGATGATACAAATTTTAGTGGAAGTTCTCCACTATTGTCCCAAAAGCTGGAACATGAAACTTTAGTTTCAGACACCCAGATGAAAGGATTTGAAGATGAAGTTGTTCCTTTTGACTTGGGGGCACAACCTGTTGTTGATGATCTAGAAGATTGGGGGGAAACACCAGAAGGTACCAATGAATATGGACAAGTTGGTCCATGTACTACTTGTCACTGTCAGGTTAGTTATGCCTTCTGGATCTTGTATGTGTGATGTGAAGTTTTTCAAATTTGCAGCAGTCCTTGGATAAATTAGTTTCTCTTTTTTAAAACAGTATACTAGGAATGGTAAAATATGAATCTAGTTATTGGTTGAAAATATCACCAATGTAAAATCATAAATATCACATGATTCATATTAATTTTACCTTTTGTTCTAAAACCCAGCTTAGTAATATTAACATTTACAGTAAATTCTTTTATAAAAGTTATGGGGGGAAAAAAGTTTACAACAGAGTGAAGAATAATTTTTTGTGGATGATATGCCATCATAAGCAAGTTGAGAAAGAAGAAATTAACTTGATATCAAAACTTGCAAGTCTATAAATTTTATCAGAAACCAGATGCTTAAAAAAGAAAGGATTCTGGAACAAATTCTGAAAAGAATCGTTTTGCTGTTTCTGTTTAGGTTGGCAATATGGTTATATTTACTTGTACCAAAAAAAGGGTTAAAACTCCAACATGCCCCGTCCCCAATAACCATGACAAAGGACGTAAAGTTGTTTATCCATGTTTATGCACAGAATCTAACCAAACATATTGACTCTTAGTTTTGGAGCTGTCCTAATTTATGTCAATATAATTTTACATAATTATTTATCTGCCGCAATCTTGGATGGATGTGAAATCCACAGGTGCTCAGAAGTGTCGACCACTGGTCTGCTGGAACAGGTCAGACTGAAAAAAGCATCCACACTGCATATTGTTCTCTTATTGAAAAAGCAGAGCATTTTATCTACATTGAGGTAAATTAAGAGGAACTTGACTTTCCTTGATCTTGCCTCGATATTTATAACTATCTCCTGCTTAGCATTGTAACAAGATGACACATTTATTTTCATAGTGATCTCAAGGGTATGTCCAACTTGATTTCTCGTTCTGCATGATCTGATACTTGAGTAAACATAGGAGAGATTTTTTTCTTTTGTTGCGCTTAACAAAATCGCACTGCTATTTTGAAAACATTTTTCCTGTGAGTATCTTACAATATATGGCCTTTGGAGTTATTATGCAGTAAATACATGAAAGCTAGTCAGTCAGGTATTAATGTCCCAATCTCTATATTAGGTCCGTTGACAGTTGACAGACAAGATCAAGAACCAAAATCACGATATAAAATCATCATCTCCAATCCATATTGAAAAAGTTGAATTTGGGGATCATTTCAAAGATGGCTTGGGGAGAGAATATATATATATAGGGTATTAAAAAAGTCACATTTTGCAAATATGAAAAGAAGGCGCGGGAAACATTTGAACTTTAACACCATTACATGGGAAACCTAAAGGTTAGGTTGAAGTTCTGACAAACAGAGGTTGATACAAGGATCAAGATCTCTACAGTTTATTTAGAGGCTAAAACAGTGTTAATTACCATTGATTAAAAATATGGATTTTGATAAAATACATGAACATTATAACAGACTCCGGTTTTGTTAGAATTCAATTCTTAAATTTTTTTCGTGGGTGATTACCACTTGCGCTTTACCCTCTAAAGTGCAGGGTGTACTTTGAGGATCCAAATACTTAATACAAAAGATACCTGTGTTATAGCAATATTAGTTCTGTGATAAATATAGAATTAAGGTTTGAGTGACTGCTTAAATTACACATGTATGCAAAACATAGTGCTAGATTACTTGTGAATTTCGTACTTAGACTGATAATGAACTCACTTCCCCCTTCTTTTCTTTGTCTTTTTCATTTTTGTTTTCCGTTCAGAATCAATTTTTTATATCAGGTCTAGAAGGGGATGACGTAATACAGAACCGTATTTTGGAAGCACTATACAGGCGTATTTTGCTAGCCCACAAAGAACAGAAAAATTTTAGAGTTATAATTGTAATGCCCCTCTTGCCTGGCTTCCAGGTAAATGTTGCTTGCCTTTCTTTAGTATCAATCCTCTTTTCTGTAGGCTTAAATCTTTTACTGTTGTGAACTAACACTAACAGGGTGGTCTGGATGATGGTGGTGCTGCAACTGTGAGAGCCTTAACTCATTGGCAGTATAGAACAATTTCTAGAGAAAAGCACTCCATATTACAAAATCTTGAAGCTATACTTGGTCATAAAACACATGATTATATTTCTTTTTACGGTCTACGATCTCATGGTAGACTTCATGATGAAGGTCCTATGGCTACAAGTCAGGTATCTTATCATATATCACCATTCTATTGAAACATATTTTAATTTTGTTTTAAAAACAGCAAATCAGGGAAAATCTCATAAAATATTTCACTCAAGGCTATCAAGAGATCTTGAAATGGTTATACAAGGTGCAGTTTGGATCTCCTAGATGATACACAATATTTAGCTTTTATAATTATTTTGACAGCGCAAATGTCTTCCTTCGTTTGATGTATATTCCCATATTTGTACAGGTATACGTGCACAGTAAATTGATGATAATTGATGACCGTGTAGCTCTTATTGGATCATCTAATATAAATGACCGGAGTTTGCTTGGATTTAGAGACTCTGAGGTACACTTGATATCTGCTTTGTCACTATAATCTGCTATGTCTAAGAGCATATGTAAATTATGTTATAATTTTCATCTAATTGTTGCAGTGTAATTAGTAATTTCTGTATTCAGGATTATTGTTGGTCAGGAACTTTATCACATATTTTATAGTTTATGGTATCCTATTATCTTAAAAATTTGGTCCTTTTAGTTCATTTGTCCCCGTAAGTTTAAGGGGTAATAGTGGCTTGCCTATAGAAGTAAATTACTGCAAATTTCAGTTTTCATCAGGGATTGAATAACACCACTGTTTATATTTTCCCTAATATTATCTAGGGAAATATTTTTCTCATTTCGTTGGAGATAGCTCTCTCATATTATACACTCATCGAATTTTGTGCCAGTTTTTTCCATTTCTTTTTCCTTTTGTTTTAAAGTGTGGACCCCATATATTTATCTCACACACCTGAGAGAACTATCTCAAGCAACATGAGATTAGTAACTCCCTATTATCTATCATCTACTTATTGCATCTTGAGGTACTGGAGATAAGTATAACACAAGAAGATACGTGATTATTATCATTGTTCTTACATAATTCAATGTTTGAATATGGAATGCCTCTGTTGAACTGGATATCTTAGGTAGAGTCCAAATCAATTGCTTTCCATGCTGTCAATTGTTTGGAACAATAATGGTTTGACACGTCTTAGCACAAAACATAATACCTAGTGGTGTAGTCTAACTAAGGTTACTTGTAAATTTTTGTCCACAAAGGATTAGCCGTGTATTTCTAGACTTGTTTGGGAAGAAAATTACTTTAATTCTTTCTTTGTCAACCAGATCGGAGTGCTTATAGAAGACAAAGAACATATTGAATCATTGATGAATGGAAAGCCATGGAATGCTGGGAAATTTTCCTATAGCCTCCGCTGCTCCCTATGGTCTGAGCACCTTGGTCTTCATACAGGAGAGGTTAGTCAAAATGATCAAATTCGGACGTTTATATACTTCATCATTGCAGCAAACACAGGCTCTGCCTGGCAGTTTCTATGTTATTGATTTATGGGAAGAATGAACATGTTAGGAAAAATTAGACACCTTGATTTTCATTGTTGGTTAGATGAACAAGTGCAACTGAGCTTTGTGCAAGAACTAAAATTCGACCTTACGTATTTTTGTTAAGCCTTTGTCTCTAATTGCTTTTCTAGTTTGTACAAACTTAAATTCAATAAGCAACTTTGCTGACTATATAAGTATTGTTTATCTGTTCTTCTGTTATCACAATGGATATGTTCATCTGTTTAGATTTACTTACTTTTGGTCCTCCTGGCAATATTCTTTTTCTCTTCACAGATCAGTAAAATCAGAGATCCAGTGGCAAACACAACCTACAAGGATTTGTGGTCAGCAACTGCAAAGGTTAGACTTTGCCAGATCTAGTATATTATATCTTGCTGGTTGGTGTATTACTTCTTCGACATTGAGTGATTTATGGCACTTATAGAGCATTGTTTATCAACATGTTAATAAATCAGATCTTCCTTTAAGCCCCTATTTGTTAATAATTATGCTCAAAACTTTTCCTGACAACGCAGTGGCTGATAAGATGTTTGTAGTATAGTAGGCAGAATACTTAAATGAACAATGTATAGCCACATGTTGACCTTTTTTTTTGTGAACGTACGTAATTTTACTTTGTGCTCCTATGGTATATGAACTACTATAAGTGTTGTGACAGGAAAATACTAGGATATACCATGAGGTGTTCGCTTGCATTCCCAATGATCAGATACACTCCAGGTGTGGATTTATCCCAGTTTTCTTCTATTGTGTTTTCTTCTCTCTTTTTACTTTTAGTCTATCCTATCTAATTACAATGCATTAATATTATTATACTTTCCAACAATATGCAGAGCTGCACTTCGGCAAAGCATGGCACAGTGGAAGGAAAGACTTGGCCATACCACCATAGATTTGGGAATAGCCCCTAATAAAATATTCTGTCATGAGAATGGAGAAATCAAAGTAATAGACCCCATAGAAAGATTGAAGTCTGTAAAGGGACATCTTGTTTCTTTTCCTTTGGAGTTCATGCGTGAGGAAGATCTAAGACCAGTTGCTATTGAGAGTGAGTTTTATGTAGCTCCTCATGTATATCATTAAGTATGGTTGTTTAGTTAGAAGCCGAGAAAAAGGGGGATTTATTTTGGAGTTTAAAGTTCATGTGTGAGGATGATTTAGGACCAGTTGTTATTGTTATTGAGAGTGATTTTTATGTATCTCCTCAAGTATCATGTCATTAAGTATGGAGAGTGTGAAAAGGGGGAGATATTAATTATTTTTTTCATGTAAATGAGAGGACTAGCAATACCTTTGCGGGTACTCTCTTAATAGTTTATAGGAAATATGGAAGATAGATTGGGAGTGAAAGGATTTGTCAAGATTGAACACGGGCAAATAAATTAAGCTGAAGGAGAAAGGGCATACTATATATAGTCATTAGTTAGCTATGGCTATATATTAACAACAGTTTTAGAAAGGGAAGTGATTGTGCAGAATCCTTTGTAAATATCGCAGTTCAGAATTAGATGGCAATTCTTCACCCAAATAATTAGATAGCAATATGCCCCATGCAACCTTCATATTGTACAGCGTTATTTCATCCGTTGTAAAGGAAATTGTATATATATCTTCTTCGATTGACCTTGGAATTGTTCATGTATTATTCTTTTTGGAGGTTATTGAGAATTACTGCATGTTGATTTTAATAATTTGTTTAAATTATTATGTGTATTTTTTATATGTCATGTGTTTAACCATACTTTTGTGCTTTTAGTTGTGCCGAATTATTTTTTAAGTTCTATTTCAACTAATCTCTATCTTAATCATGATTTGTACTGATTATGAAATTAATAAAGCATTATTTTTGTTCATATATTAAAAATAATATTTTGTTGAAGTTATAAAAAAAAAAAAGAATATAATACAAAACAAAAGAAGCCAGCTGGTTGTCTTTCTAGTATCAAAACCTTGAAAAGTTTTTAAAAGTAAATTAAAATAAGTTAAACATAAATTGATATGATTAGAATATATATTATAAGTGGGATTAAGTCTACTTTATAATTTGTGGATTTGAATCCTCTCATGTGAAAATTCACATGACCATGTCATGTGGGGAATCACAACCATACAAAAGTAGATCAATGATAATAAAGGAGGGGAGAGAAAAAATGTTAAAATAAGTAGTTAACAAATCATAACTGTTGATTTATCTTTGTATGGTTGTAATCTTTCACATGACCGTATCATTTTTTTTTTTCACCGAGAGGGTCAATTTTCATAATTTGTTATTTAGGTAGATCAAATTTTTGTTGATGCGGCAATCTCTTTTTTGTTTAAGGCGAGGTAAAGTTCTTGCATGTTGTGATAAAAAAAACCCTTTTTTTTTCCTCCAAAAAATAAACCGTACGATTTAGTGGATTTTACGTGTTATGTGAATCCCATCAAGCATGCCAGATTTATTATGCTTTTGGACGAATTTTTGTGCTTCCTCCAAAAACATCAGAATTTTTCTTATATAAGACACAGTGTGGAAGCGTGACAAAGTGTCGCCTCAACAATTAATTTAATCATATCATGATATATCCTTCTTATACTTTTTTATGAAATAATACATCACCTTACCTTTAGAATACGTGACAAAATCGAAGTATATATATGTGTGTGTGCAAGTAAAGATGTGAGACTAATTATATATATTTTTATGTTACAGATGCTAATGATGACGATGTTGAAGAGTCATTCAATAATTTACGTCGTTCCTCTCGCATGTTAAATGAGCACTATTCAAATTTCAGACACAGGCTTACCAACTATCGTTGACGGTGATGTCTTAACACCGACCATCCGAAGCACCTTACGTTTCGATTTGGCTTTCTCTGCCAATTTATTGATTAACTCACTATTCTAGCAGAGTATGGGGAATGTGTTAAAAATTTAAATACGAATGATAAAGTTATGTATAGGAAAGAAAGGACTAAGTATGAAACATAAAAGTGAAGAAATCCATAAGGTTTTGATTTGAAAATGATATTGAATTTACGATAAATTACTCCTTAGTCCATTTGATGGTAATTCTCCCTTTACATGAGCTCTAAATTAAATATGTCCTATCAACATCTGGCCCCTCTTGCTCTTTTTTGCAATCACACTTGAACACATACGCTATATATGTTCCATAAACACACGCAATTATACCCACAACATGTGCGTGCACAGAGGTTTGAATGAGAAAGATCATTGAGCATAAACACACGTAATCACACGTAATTTGTTCCTAGTTGGGGAGTTTTGCATACACGTTTGTAGAAACGTGTTGGGATTGATCTCCATATTTGTTATCAGTTTTTGCTGCTCTTGCCTCAATTATAAGCTGGTCACCTAAATGTCCATCAACTTAAATTTGAATAAGGATTTAGCACATAGAAGCCATCATAATACATTTTTTGCACAATTTTCATAACGCTAGTAAAATATTCTTATTGCTCAATGTATTTATCCGCATAAATTTAATCTTTTTATGCACTTTTCAAATCTAGCAATGTATTTGTATGTTATTTTTATTATATCATCATATATTGTTTTTTATAATAAAAGTGCATACTTTTTAATATACTATTTTACTTTTTTTATAAAAAAAAAAAAAATGTAAGGAATTATTTAAAAAATTAACGTGCGAGGAAAATTTCTTGAGATGATGACGTGAAGCGCAATTTCGTCATGTAAATAAAAATCTTTTCACCGTCAAAAGGTTCACGATGACATTTTTTCGCTTTTTCTCCCTCTACGTTTTGTCGGCCAACAGGGCACAACTACATCAAAGAATATGGCTAATAGGAATGAGAGGCTTTTGATTAAAGTAAAAAAAAAATTAAAATAAATAAATGTGGATATATGACAATTAGGTATGAATTATTGAGTGAGTTGAATTTATTTCAAACGGAATAAACAAGAGTTTATCAATTTAAAATTTATCATAATCTTTTTACAAAAAAAAAATTAGAGTTGAAATATTCTTAAATATTTATATTAAAGAATTTCACCTTATGGTTTATGTTTGATTTGAGTTGCTTTACTTGAAGAATTAATTATGTGCATATAATATTTTATTTTGTGTAACCATTACGGGCTGACGTTGTTAGCGGTATCGAACCTTTCTAGGCCAACCCATGTTGGGTATTGTGCTTGTTCCATTTCTATTTCTATTACAAAAATTATATATGAAATTGAGTTTTTAGATAAAGTAAAAAAAATATTCAAGAATAGCTTACCAAAAAAAAAAATATTCAAGAAAACTTCGTAAAAATTTTATTAAAAATTCCAAATGTACTGTTTTGTAATACATCAGTTATATATCGGAATTCGAGTGGTGAAGACATTCCATGGCATGCTAAAGCATACTAAGTTTATCACAAATTATATATTACTCACTACTCATTCAGAAATTAGGAGATTGACCCTGCTAATTTCTTTGACGTGCAATAATTTACCGATGAAGATTTATATCTATCTTGTAATCATGGAATGTTGGTTGGTTTTGCATGTCCCACGTATCTCTATATTCATTATTCTCATCTTTATAAACACGCCCTTAGTTAGACAAATTGCATTTCATTTAAGTGCTAACAGAGCATGTATCTGATATATACACATTCCCCTAATAAACATAGGGTACCCAACTTCTTAAAAGAGATTTTTTTAGCAATCAAAAATAATTATGTCTTATTAATAAGACATAATTATAATATTAAAAATAGTTGTTTCTCTCTGTTATGTCAATTGACAGTTTTATGAAGAGAAAAAAAAATTAAAATTATATTTTATTAATAAGATATAATTATTTTTGCTTGCTGATTTCTTCTTTCAAAGAAGCACATTTTCCGTCAACATAAGATTCACGTCAATTTAATGGTGAAAATCATGCGGAGCCCATCCAAAAGTTGATATTAATTAATGTGGCTGAACAATGATTTGTGTATAAATGATGACAAACTGGACACTGTTTGAAATGAAAAAGCAAAACAGTAAAGAATGGCCACCATTTTTTTTTTGGAAATATCGATACAGAAATTTCAAATGAATGGCCACCATTAAGTCCATACCACACCACACGTAAACATTGAGAAAAAAAAAAAAAAAACACTTCCCTCCAGTGTTATTAAACTCGGTCTGGGCATCGACCCGGTCGGGGTACTGAGTCATCGAGTCACTGGTCGGACCGGTTGACCCGAATATATATAGATATACAAAAATATATATAATTATGAACATATAAATTCAATTATATTCTCCATATTTAAAATGAATTAAACAAGATTCATTAAATAAGCTAAAAAATATGAAGCATAAATAAATAAAAATACATGTTATTACTATGTCAATTTAAATTGCAACTCAAAATCCTCCTAAACATACCTCTCAATTAGGGGTGTAAATGGGCTGGGTTGGGCTTTGGCCATCCTTGCCCAAGCCTACGTCAAAAAAAATTCAGCCTATCTGGCCTACTGGCCTATTAAAGGCTTTATTTGTAGGCCAAGTCTGGCTCATTATCAAAAATAAGAAAGCCTTACATGGCCTACAGGCCTTGTAGGCCTCCCACTATATATACTAAGCAAAAAAAATAATTGTATAAGCAAATAAAGTTCCATTCATGCATGCACTAGTACTTCTCATAAGAAAAAAATGACAAACAAGAAAGAGTCAATACCTCAGCTCTAGAATGTATATCATGGAGGAATAGAGTCAAAGAAATGGGAAAAAAAAGAAAAATACAATTACTGGATGCTGAAATAAAGTCTACAAGAGAATGTCATTCATCTAAAAATCTTTAAACCACCATCAAGACAAGGGAAAGAAGAGTATTATTGAAAGATCTTCATCAGTAACATCATAATCCAGCAAGGTACCCATTGCTCCATGGTATTAAGCTGCAACAGCATGTAAAATTTGGAGACATTAGACAAGTTTTCCTTTCGTAAAATAAAATAGCACAAAAAATAAGAGATATTGGTATTTGGTACTTTGTGTCTTTGCCACATAAAATAAATATTATTTTATTATTTTATTTTGATAAATTAAATAGGCCAGCTTACAAGGCTGTAGGCCGGGCTTGACAAAATTGGCTTATGACCTATTTATTAAAAAAACTTTTTTATAAGCCTAAGCATACTCTACTTTTCTGAAAGGTCGGGCCTGGGTTGGGCTCAATGTAGGCCGGGCCGTAGGCTGGGTTGGGCCAGCCTGGCCCATTTACACCCCTACTCTCAATGACATTGAACTCATATTTTTCAAATTCAACTACGTTAAAAATGACATATGTCACAATCTCTTAATTTATTATTCAACAAATTGCTTAAGTATTGGAAGCTGAAATTTGAGGTCATTGTAGAAGAGTATACTAGCAAATAAGATTACAAAAAAGAATTAAAATGAGTTCTACATTTTTTTTGACAAAAACAATTGTGGTTTTTTTTTTTAAATGCATAACCCGACTGGGTCACTAGGTCACCGGGTTTAGCCGATTTTGTTCGAGTTTTGACCAAGTTTGATCGGGTCGATGCATGATCGATCCAATGCATGATCCGAACAAATCCGATAACCAGATCACCAAATTTCGAGTCGGGCCGGATTTTACCACACTGCTTCCATCACATTCATTTCCATTGAACTTGAA